TGCTATTTATTTTCCTGAACAATACTCAGATAAAATACAATGGATGCTTATCTAGGAATTATCTAGGAGAGAGTTATCTAGGATGCTTATCTAGGAGAGTGGTGACATTGAATGGGAGAGCAGTGACTGAGATTGGGGATCTCTGATGACTTCATGGCTGTGGCACACCTGCAGCCTAGGAATGTTTGTGCAAGGGTAAAGGATGCCTAGCTGCTATGGTGATGCCCTGCCCGAGGAGGCTCTGTGCAAAGGCCTTATCAGCTTTAACCTTGATCTCAGGCACATAGCTTCCAGGGATAGAGGAATTCTCATGCTAGACAACCTCAATATTTCACCAACCGTACTACTCCTGAGCCTGCCTGTTTAACAGTAACTTTAAACAGTGGGCCTCCTTGAGCACTACACAAAGCTCCTGACATTGCACATTGTAACTGTGGAAAAGCTGCATAGATGTTTCCAGTTCTGTAACTTTCCTGAGTACAAAGAATAATGCTTGCATAGTCTTTAACCTGATAATGAAACATATATAAATAGATGTAGAATGTGGTCATACTTCATTAGGGAGGGCACCAAATCTAGTGACTGGTATCTTTACAAAAGAAAGGAGAGGGAGATTTGGACACAGACATGGGGAAGAAAACCATTTGAAGACAGAGGCAGAGACTGGAGCTAAACCACAAGCCAAGGAATGTAGGGTCACCAGAAGCTGGAATAGGCAAGGAAGCATTCTTTATAACCTTCAGAGGAAGCGCAGCTCTGCTAATACCTTCCACTAGACTTCTAACTTCCAGATCTGTGAGAGAATATATTTCTGTTGTGAGTTTGTGGTACTTTGTTACAGTTGTGGCAGGAAACTAATACAGCCTGGCACATTTTGAGTCAGAAAGCAAGAAAATGCTCCAAGAATGTCGACATTGATCAAAAGGATGGGGAGGAACCATCTCAAAAGTATCCTAGTAGTCACATAAATTATTTTAATGGATTATACCCCATTGAATAAAATAGAAATCCATGATTATAAATTCATAAATACATGAATATTGGGTAAGGCAATCCACCGTGGGTCCTGACTGTCCCTTCACATTCTTATTCAGTAAACAAGGCCCTCACTACTCACCACCTGGGCCATTTCTCAGGATTGTGTGTACAGCATGCCACCTTCAGGGATGAGGTAATCTCTCTTCAACCCCCGACAAAGCACAGGTTTACTTCCACCAGCTATAAAAGTGGTGAATTCCACAACTCAGTGCTCCTTCCCTATAGCATAAACTGCTGAGTATGCAGGAAACCAACCAGGCCTACCTGTGTAGACCCTGAAGGACTTGGGGGACATGAGAAATCAATGCAAACCAAATGAAGCTCACACAGCTTGCCATAAGTCATGAATAATAAAGTCCTTTGGCTGGGACCCAGGAGTCATGTACCTTCCGCCAGCATTTAAGAAACAGTAACAGGCTAACTTGGGTTACAAATAGAGTAAAATGTCGGACTTTCACAGTTCTTGACAATGAATGAGGGAAAAGGGAAAGTCACTCTTGCAGTTGAATGATATATAATAAATGCAGAAGAAATAATGGAGTTTGAAAAACATTTGTGAATATTAGGTGAACTAATACGTGAAATCTTGTTGGAAAAAGGATACTTACATAGTCTCAAAATGTGTCCCCACAAATTACTCATCAATTACTAAGGAACTTTTCAGAAGAGATATCCTGGACACTACTATTAACCAAGTGATCAAAATTAACATCACCAACACTAGGACAAACAGGTATGTACTTCGTGATACTGAGGACATGAGGCTTTGATATTCTTCCTAAAAATGTACATACTGAATCTAATTATAAGGAAATATCAGGCAAATCCAAAATGAGACACATTGTCCAAAATTGGCTTATATTGTTCAAAAATATCACAGTCAAAAAGGAAAAGGAAATCAGGAGAAATATTCCAGATTAAAGGAGACTAAAGAGACAGGACAACAAAAATACAGCTGAGTTAAACCATGGACCAGAATTTTAGAAATAACTATGAAGGATATTATTAAGGTATATTATTAAGATAATTTTGAATATGGACTGTAGATTCCACAATAATGATGAATCAAAGTTAAAATTCCTGATTTAGAGGGCTAGGATTGTGGCTCAGCAATACAGCACTCGCCTAGCACATGCGAGGCCCTATGTTCAATCCTCAGCAACACATAAAAATAAATAAATAAAATAAAGGTTGTGTCCAACTACAACTAAAAAATAAATATTTTTTAAAAATTCCTGATTTTGACAATAAAGACATTTATATAAGAGAAGACCATTGTGCTTAGGAAATACTGAAATATCTAGTGGTAAAGAAATATGATATCTCTAATTTACCTTGAATAGTTTAGAAATATTATGTATATATGTGTTTAGAGAGAATGATAAAGGAAATATAACTGATGAATGTAGATAAAGGCCATACAGAAGACCTTTGTACCTATGAAACTATTTATTTATTTATTTATATTTATATATGACAGTGGAGTGCATTATAATTCTTATTACACATATAAAGCACAATTTTTCATATCTCTGGTTGTATACATAGTATATTCACACCAATTCATGTCTTCATACCTGTACTTTGGATAATAATGATCATCACATTCCACCATCATTAATAGCCCCATGCCCCTCCCTTCCCCTGCAACCCCTCTGCCCTATCTAAAGTTCGTCTATTCCTCCCATGCTCCCTCTCCCTATCCCGCTATGAATCAGCCTCCTTATATTTAAAAAAAAAAAAAAAACATTCGACATTGGGTTGGAGTTGTGGCTCAGCAGTAGAGTGCTCGCTTAACACATGCAAGGCACTGAGTTCGATCCTCAGTACCACATAAAAATAAATAAAATAAAGGTATTGTGTCCAACATATGTGTGTGTGTGTGTGTGTGTGTGTGTGTGTGTTTGTACACACACTGAGCCACAACCCCGGCCCTTAAACAACATATTAATTTTTAAATTTCATTTTTATTTTACTTAATGAATCAAGTAATTCATTAAAGAACGCTAATGTGCCTTTGGTTTTGTGTGGTTTACTCAAGTATATGTTCAATAAGTGAGATTTAGATGCTTTTACAAAGAGTCCTTAATACCTTCTGGATTTCCATAAGAAGAACAACCTGACCATATGAAATCTGAAAGCATTTGTAAGAGTCATAGTTAATGGGATTTAACTGAGTAATTAAGGTAATGAAGGTAAGAAATTATAACTTCTTTCATTTATCAGAATTTAAATACTCAAATACTTTCAGAGGCCAAGGCTCAGAAAGAACCAAGTCATAAATCAATCAAGAAAAACTGAGATCACTGACTAGGCCTAATAAGTATTCTATCTAAAGACACTCATATTCAAGTTTTTGTCTCATTTTTTAAACACCGTGCCACATTTGTTCAGGCTGAGTTCAGCTCAGGGGGCATGTATTTTGACCACTGAATTTCAGATATGAAGCCTTTAGGGCATTTATAATATATACTATCTGTGGTATTTTATGATAAAATGGAAAATTTCTAAGAATAAATTCTCAGTGAATATCAAAACCATTAGATGATTTAAATTATTTCCAAAAGGCAGTCATATCATTCAAGATATCTTAAGCTGGCTCCTTCTTTGTACTCTTAATTAAGATACACTTTAACATGTCGTACTACCTAATCTCTTAAGGTTCCTAGCAACTCTGAGAATTTAAGATTCTATGACTGCTGGAACAAAAACATCATACTGGTAACAACTACATTCCCATGAATTTAATTATTATAAAACAATGAAAATTACTGAATTAATCCACCACTAAAATGTTTGGCCTAAATATTTTCATTTAAAAAATTCATTTGCACTTGTTTTCATTACAAAGCAACCTCTATCATGCCTAATACCATTAACCACGTTTAAAAAAAAAAAAAAAAAAATATATATATATATATATATATATTAAGAGAGAGAGAGAGAGAATTTTTTTTTAATATTTATTTTTTAGTTTTTGGCGGACACAACAACTTTGTTTGTATGTGGTGATGAGGATCGAACCCAGGCCGCACACATGCCAGGCGAGCGTGCTACCGCTTGAGCCACATCCCCAGCCCTAAAATATATTTAAAAATAGAGGGCTGGGGTTGTGGCTCAGTGATAGAGCTTTTGCCCAACATGTGCAAGGCCCTGGGTTCGATCCTCAGTACCACATAAAAATAAATTAAAAAATAAAATAAAGGTATTGTGTCCAACTACATAAATAAACAAATATTTTTAAAAAATAGAATAGCAATCCATCTTTATTAAATTCTTTCGGGATATTTTCCAATAAGAACACTGGAAAGATAGGGTATAGTGAATATCTAATGTCCCCAAAGCTCAAAACAATCTCTTATTCCACTGGATTCCCTATCATTTGTATTTCTGTTTCTCTATACTATTAAACTTTTTTTATGTTTTAGTGTCTCCATTATACTTTACATAATTAAGAGAAAACATGTCCTATTTGTCTTTTATTCCTATCAAAAAATATAGGGTACAGAAGGGTACTCTAAAAAAAAAAAAAAAAGAAAAAGAAAAAACAATCTCAGAGAAATTTTTCTTTCCCCAAGATAATAATGAAGACCTCAAGAGAAACACTTTCAAATTCTAAAATGAACTGAATTCGTACATGATTGACTGAAGTTATCATACTTTAAAAAAATTCTCTACATGCATAGCACATAAAAACCCTGGGTTTGATAATCCCCAGCACCACAACAAATAAATAAATAAATAAAAAACAAAACTCCATTCTATGTCAGAGAAGTTGTCAGAATCAGTAGCTGATTATGTTGATATTTAAGCAATAATTTTCTCAGAAAATACTGCAATAACTATACTCTTTTGAGGAAGTAAAATTTCAGTACATTACTTAACCCAAAGCTTAGTTTTTAAACATTTTATCTGAGAGAAAGATAAGGTTTTGCCAAGTATGATGTCTAATTAAGTCTTACCTGAGGATTCCAACCTGGATCTAATGTTTTAACTACTGCGACATATTCCTGCATTGCTTGACTGGGGCTCAAGTCACCAAGTGCTTTCCACGCTTCCCTACGGTACAGAAAATCCAAAATGGCCCATCATTAAATATGTGAATAAAGCAAAGTATATTACTATTTATTATTAAAAATTTACATACATATTTCAAGGGTCTGGTAAATAGAGATAAAAAGCTATGCATAAAGGAGAAGCCCTCTCTTTTTGCATTTATATGGACCAACAGCAATACAAATCTTATCACTCCAAGTAAGGAGACTTCTTGGAAATTTTTCTCCTAATTGCCTTCTCCCATGAAATTTTAATAAAACAAATAAACTGAATATCTGTTGAATTTTCAAAGATCACAAACCATTGTAACCTAAGATTTTAATCACTTCTCCAAATACAATTTTCACCCTTATTAAGAACATATGGGGGCTGGGGATGTGGCTCGAGCGGTGGCGCGCTTGCCTGGCATGCGTGCGGCCCGGGTTCGATCCTCAGCACCACATACAAACAAAGATGTTGTGTCCGCCGAAAACTAAAAAATAAATATTTAAAAAAAAAATTAAAAAAAAAAAAAAGAACATATGGCCTATAGACCAACAGAAGTAGTTCCCATCTTATGAATTAATATGCTTATGGCATTTGGCAGTATAGAAACAAATCATCACAAAAGAAAAAATATTCCTTCGGAAAATGCATCAAGCTTCTTAGTTAAGATTCAAGAAATCACCTTCCCCTTCTGTTTTCCATAAGCTACCACAATCTGATGTTGAGGCCTTGGTTGGAGATTTCAAAAATGAAGGGAGGTGAAGCAGAATTAAAAATACTAATGATAAGCAAGGAAGGAATTTCTGATAGTATAAACACCAAGAGTAACATTTTAGTCCTGAGTATCCTTTTGAGTCAACCCTTTCTTTTTTTTTAAGCAGGCTGCTAAGACAGTCCTTCTTCTTGGTTTGACCCTCCAATTTTCTACATCCAACCACGGTTTCTTAATTTTCCTGATCCTTTGAAAAACAATCCAGTCCCACAGTTTTGTCACGACCTTCCTGCTCCTATGATGAAGAAACATCTTCCTGAGGCTTTCTAAATTTATTTCTACTCAATCTCTTCAGAGTTAATTGTTTACATTGAAACACTTCACCCCTAACAGTATCAGCTTATGTCAAACACAGGAAATTTTTCATCAATACTATAATACAGAGAACAAATAGTCAGACTTCCCTGATTGTCTCAACAATGTCCTTTATGACTTTCTTCACCCAGACCAGGAGCCAATCAAGATTCACATAGAGCAATGAATTTTATTTACTTTAACCTTTTTGACTTTCATGATGTTGACATTTCTTAAAAACCATTTTCCAAAAGTTAAAACCAATTAAAAATGTTTCAGAACCAATTTAAAGTTTTTTTTAAAGCCAATTGTTTTGTAAAATACCCCTCAGTTTGGGTTTGTCTCATTGTTTCCTTTACAAAAATGATTAATCATGATTATAATCAGGTTTAGTATTTCAGCAAGAGCAATATATAGGTGACATGTCCTTTACAATGCATCACCCTTGGGGGAAACATGACGTTAGCCTGTCCCATCACTGATAAGATTAATGAGTTAGTAATGGCAATATCCACAAGCTTTCTCTTATAATTAGTAAGTACAAGTATTCTCCTTCATAATTAATAAGTAAACTGTGGGTCAGGTTGTGTAAATATTGTTCTTCAATAGTTTTCCATATAATGTTTTAGCATCAATGATGATTCTTGCCTGAATTAATTATTAGGATAGCTGTAAAATATAAACAGTTCTTAATTCTAAAATCAATGGTCAAACAGGCAATATGTAGAGAAAAATAATGGTGAAGTTACAAAATTTCACAAATTTAAACAAAAAAATCACAATAAAAGTTTTATCAGGTATTCCCTAGAACAGTAGTAAATTGCCAGGGAACTGCTTGTCATAAGCAAAGAAAACTTGTACCAGAATGTAAATCAAAGCCCTGCTTCCTTTATTGTAAATTTCCTCCTTCACCCTGCCCCCCAAAAAAGCGATATAAAATATTCTACCAGAAAAAAAAAAGGTTTGATTTGAAGAATTTGAATAAAACCTATAACTAAGGTTCTCTAATATATGCAACTTCTCTTTTTTCACATAAACCAGGAAAAAAAAATAAGGCCTCATATAAGGAAACCACTGAATTACAAGTGGAAAAAAACCTGGGATGAGTATAATCTTTTATTTATTCAGAAAAGTGGAGTTAGTCAGGATCTGGCTTTGGATTCCCACCTTCTTTCCAAAAAAAATATGATAGAAACTTTTTTCCTGCGGTGTAGGTAGAACAAGGAAGAGAACAGTGCCAAGAGAGCCAAGGGGTTAAAACTGATACAAGGGAGAAGAGTTCAAAATGGGGATTGATCCTACTATTCTCCTCAAGGCTATCCCCTTGGCTTTCTCTCAAAGATGCCTCCAGAGGGGCAGAGTGGTGACCCCTTAGAGGCTGTACAGTAGCAAAAAAATTTTACGCAATAGCTCTGATGGATATTCTCATACATACATTTCCTATGGACAGAAGCACATTTGTTGTGAACTACTTATATTCCAACGTCACTGCATAAGAATCCTTTAGAAGTCTTAGCTAAAAGAAGATTCTTTTAATCCCTCTCCCAATTGCCTGTCATTATCACAGTCTACAGTAGAGAGAGATTAATATAAAAATAATTCTTTAATCTGCTCACTACTTTCTAATTCCTAAACACCTAAATCATTTCCATCAGCCTCATTAAAGAGTCCAAGAATTTCTTACCATTTTTGCTTTCCTTCAAAATCAAAGAAGCCTGGTTTAGGAGTATTGCAATTTCCAACTTTGACCTAAATGAGGAGATTAAAAAAAAATTAAGAACTTATTTTTCAAAGAAATGTCAAAAACTTTCTTTTCGAATTTGTTTAATAACTATGGATTCGAAAATATGCATCTATATAGAATAACAAAATTTAACATTTTTTGCAAATGCAAACAACAAACCAAACTTAAAAATACACATAGCTTTAGCTAACTATAAAAAAAATTGTTATCTAACACTATATTTACAAAACACTGTGGGTGACAGTTTCATTCCTTAGAAGAACAATTATAAGGCAAATTATAAAATAGATTATGTAGTCTTTCTCAACACTATAATAAAGAACTTTTAACAAATTAACAAACTTTAAAGTTCAGTTTTTCAAGAATCCATTAAAAAATATTGTTTCTTTATGCTGATTCTTATAATGCTACTTGCATCCCATCTCTCCCAAATTCCAGGATAAAGTGTACTACTTTTAAAATGGCCTATTATGAAATTCAACAATATGAATTTAGTGCCAAAAGCCTTGCAAAAAATTTCAAGTGTTCTCAACAACAACAATATAAATTCTATCTATTCCACAATAATCTTGTCAATACTTATATTTTTTGGTCTTCAAATGACATCAATGGCTAAATTACAGATTATTTTCATTATGAATATGTACAAATGAAATTCATACAAATGCAGAATTCACCATGCAGTCCATGACTGCCACTGCAGAATCTCCCTTCCTTATGAACTCTTAATAGCATTTATTCTGTATATCTCTTGTGGCATTTTGACATTTTCTACTGCATTAGGAAGTTCTGCGTAAAGTCTTGTCTTTTTATTAGAACACAACCTCTAAGAAACTATTCTTAACTCACCCATAGCAATTATCTACTTCTCAGGGGCATTCCTGATATTTCTATTATTCTTGCATAGTTGCATTTTGCTAAAATTAAACTGATGCCTTTACCCAGCCATACTGATCTACTCACTGCCTTAGGGATTTTTAGTTCTGTGTTTTGCTCATATTATTTCAATCTTTTGAAATGCCTTCTCTTCTTCCCTAGGTTTTCAAAATGCTATATCTCCTTTCTGTCTTGCTCAAGGTTCAGATTCTAAGAACCCTTTCAGTGTACAATGATCTTATCCACCTCTGAATTCAGAAAAATTATCACCTCTCTCATTTCCTGAGCAATTAATCTCATGGCCCTCTGGCTGTTATTAAAATGTATGCTTTTATAGAAGCAGCCCTGTTATGATAGGCTGGAGGGAAGAAAAGGTGAGAAAGTAATGCCTGTCTTGAACAGTCTCACCATAGACCAAACACGTGACTTGAGTTATTATAAGTGAGCCACACGATAATCCTGCAAGGAATGACATTACAAACTCATTTGATAAATGAGGAAAAAGAATCTCGGGAGGGTTGTCTCAATTCACATGTTAGCAAATACTGAATTAATAGTCAGGATTTGAATCCTGGCCTGTTGGATTGCAAAGTCCAATATTCCTTCACTACATCATTCTGCCTTAGGTGTTACAGAAATGAGGCTTCAGTTCTGGTGTCTCTAAAATCAAATGAATTATTGGATTGCCAGAAATATGGATAAGATAAACTATATAAACTATAAAACATCTTAAAAATAACAATTATTAATATTTTTACATTTTTGTCTAAATGTCATCCAGAAACAGAAACCAATGCCAGTTATCTGTTCTTTCTTTCTCCAACAGTATTAGTCTCAGCTAGACACACGGTCATCCAACTGAAATAGTATATGTGGCCATGCAACTTCTGTCTAGGTTTTGGGAACCGGATGTGTATGAAAATTATAAAAATATCTTCCTTATAAAGAAAAGGGGCTTGTTATCCCCTTTCCCTTTGACTTGATTAGAACATGTATATGGTGATGGTGACCCTCTCTGGCCATGGGAAGAGGAATCTTAATTTGAGACTTTATGGTCTTAAGATCCCTTTACACTATTAAAAATTAAGGACCCCAAGGAGCTTTTGTTCATGTGGATTATATCTACTGATATTTACCATGTTAGAAGTTAAAATACTTAAGATATATTAATTCATTTGAAAATAACAATAAACCCACTGCATGTCAACAAAATAAAAAATCTTTTATGAAGAATAAGTATATATTACTAAATTTTAAAAAAATAGTGAGAAAAATGGCACTGTTTTACATTTTGTAAATCTCTTTAAAGTCTGGCTTAGTTGTAGTCTCATATTTACTTCTACATCCAATCTATTGTTATGTGTTGCTATGGTTGAAGTTTATAAAGAAAATTCAACTTCACACAGATATGTTGTTAGAATACTAAAAAGTTATTTTGATCGAATTTTCAGGTAACTGTGGATATTGTTCTTTTGATATTACACCAAAATTCAACAATAGTAATTCCTTTAAGGTTAGATGCAATGTGGAATCTGGACTTACATCAATGAATTTTTCACACTGTCTCACTGAAAACCATTGGTCTGATGTACACTTTTTGAATTGATTTTTTACCCACACGTGTTTTGTAACACTGCCTTGTGAAATGTTTAAAAAATATAGTTCACTGAGTTACGCAGATTTTCCAAATGTTGATGTATTTCTTTGTACATTAAAAGTTCACAGGGCTGGGGTTGTGGCTCAGAGGAAAAGCGCTCACCTAGCATGTGTGAGGCACTGAGTTCGATGCTCAGCACCACATAAAAATTAAATAAAGATATTGTGTCCACTTATAACTAAAGTATAAATTTTTTTTTAAAGTTCACATTCATTCATTCATTATTCTCATTGCTTTTAAAAAAAATTTTAAGTACTAGGATGCTGTCAAGCTCATGGCAGCAGATTTTCTAAACTTCTAATTTTCTAGAGGGTTTAAATGTTATCATTGGCAACAAATATTTTCAATTGTTTTCCTTAAAGGCAAGGGCTCATTTCTCTCATTCTCAAGAAACTATATGCCAAATAACCAAATATGAATACACATAGTTTATCTGTCAGTTGTTCTGTTAAGTAAAAATGATTTTCCATGGTAAAAAGTGGGTAGTTTAGTTTGCAACTCAGAAATCACATAAGTGCTTTTCCTCAAAACAGCAACATATTCTGATGCATCAGAGGTGCCTTGGGTGTACCTCCCATTTCATCACACACAATGTCAAAGAGACTTGTACTCAAGGGTTAATTTTTTTTAAAAACACTAAATGTTTTTTTAAATTATAGGTGGACACATACCTTTATTTTATTTATTTTTTTATGTGGTGCTGATGATCAAATCCAGTACCTCACATGTGGTAGGCAAGTGGTCCACCACTGAGTTACAGCCCCAGCCCCTCAAGAATTAATATTAAATAAAAACAAATAATATACTTGAGTACATGGTGTTTAAAAAATACACATGACTATTGATAACAGTTTGCTATCACTGCTCTGATTCATACTAAGGAATCAGTTGTTTTATTCAACATGACAGCATAGGAAAAATTCAACAATGTCTTAGTATTATTATGAAAATAATTTTGACCTTATGAAACCCAGAGCATGTCTCAGGAATTCACAGGGGTCCATGGACCACAATTAGAGAACTGCTGCCTTAGGGGATGATTGAGCTATAAGACAATAAGCAGAAGTCCCTGGATGATCTCATGAAAGAAAGCCACCCTACCAACTCTGGATCACCTACCTCTAGATCATTTTCTGAGATAAACAAAAGCTCAGCAATTGACCCTGTATCCTAACTGACATGGAAACTTTTCTAACTCCCAAGTTTAAAGAATAATTCTGGATCTAGAAGACTGAGAAAACATAACAGCAGTTTCTGAATCATTTATGAAGCAGGGATATGCACCACTTTAACAGAGTATCAAAATTCTGTTCTCTAACATAGGTAGGTAGGTATGGTAGGTGCGTGGGTAGGTAAACAGATAGGTAGGTAGGTAGGTAGGAAGAAAGAAAGGAGGAAAATATATTTAGTGCCCTTGAAGCAGAATATTTCAACAAAGGTTGCCAAGAACAAATGCCAGGGAATTGAGTATGCTCAAGTTAAAGGAGGATATGCAGAGTATCTTCGATTCTGCTAGTAGTGGAGGATCTTTGTTGGGGTTTCGATATGAGGTATCCCCCAAAGCTCACCTGTGTGACAATACAAGAGGGTTTAGAGGAGAAATAATTGTGGTATAACATTAATCAGTGAATTAATCCCTGATGGGATTATCTGGGTGGAGGCTGGAGGCAGATGGGGTGTGGCTGAAGGAAGTGGTTCGTAAGGGGCATGGCTATGGGGTATATATTTGTATATGGCAAGCAGAGATCTCTCTCTCTCTCTTCTTCTTCCTGATCATAATGTGAGCTGCTTCCCTCTGTCACACTCTTCCACCAAGATGTCCAGCCTCACCTCAAGCCCCCAGGAATGGAGCCTGCTGTCTATGGACTGAGACCTCTGAAACTGTGAACACCCAAATAAACATTTCCTCCCCTAAAATTGTTCTGGTCAGATATTTTACTCGCAAAAGAGAACTAGTTGTCTAAAACAATCTTATCAAATGAATCCAACAGGAATTTGAAATTTTCACTGCCTTTCATTTCACAGGTATCAATGAGTTATCTTCTGTTGAGAGATTGCAGGCTAATACACAGAGGAAGCAAAAAACTATTAAATAATTTGATCTTTTTGAAACCTAATTAAAAAGATAATTTTGAAGTCATAGTTTATCTGAGACTAAAAGAGCTAAGATTTTAACTAGGTTAATTTAGATTTCTGCCTGAGAAAATAAGGTTCATCTCTTAGCTTATTTTTATCATCTTCCTGCCAACAATCTTACCTCATTTAGCCTCCAAAATGGGATGCTAATCCAAGTAGAAAATGTCACTTTGTAAGAAATTTCGATCCATCTTGCAGACACTGTATCAGGCTTCAAACTTCATTATTCTACCAAAGATGCTATTTTGGGGGGATGGGGGAATTGAACTCAGGAGCATTCAACCACTAAGCCACATCCCCAGCCCTATTTTTTTTTTATTTAGATACAGGGTCTCACTGAGTTGCTTAGCACCTTGCTTTTGTTGAGGCTGGCACTGAATTCACAATTCTCCTGCCTCAGCCTCCCAAGCCACTGGGCCAAAGATGCTATTTTTAACACTGTCTCAGAATTCTGCTAGAAATAAAATTTAGGAGAGACTGATTAAAAATATGTGGTCCAGTGTCAGATCTAACATGCATAATCTTATTCTCTAATAATGAAGAATTTTATTTTCAAATACAAAATAGCCTAAACATAGACTATAAGATTACATTCTTGGAAGAATGAAGGACAATATTCCTTCAGACTATCTGGATGAATTGAATACAACAGAGATAAATGGTGGCCAACTAACAGGTGTCTATAGTTCACTCATGACTTAGAAATCAGTACTTAACAATAATGACATCAATATCAATAAATAAATATCCAAAGAAAGAAAAAGATTGTTTCCTAGGGAATCTGGAGAAAATTAGCTTTATACTGCCCAGAGAAACATCTGTCAGACATGCTATATATAGGTCCTAGCATAATGTTTAGTAAATAGTTGTCAAATTTACTCAATAGTTTCTTTCTAAAGTTATTAGGATAAAGTAAATGCCCCCAAAGAAAATAAATATCCAGAACTCTTGCAAGAAAGCTACTTCCAAGGCAGGCCAATTGTAGGACAACTTTCATTCAATACTATAATTTATACCATTTGTACCTATATCTCTCAAGTCACATTAATTAACATTCATAATCATCCATCTTCAAAATAAGGTTCATCTCTATTCAGTACATTCAGCTTAAGAAAACAGGGGAACCCCCTACAACTAACTACTTTATTAAAAACAATACATAGGGTACATGGAAAAATATGTCATTATACCAAGATGCAAAAAGAAAATTAAGATGTTTTTAATAAAAATAAAATAGGCTATAATCCAGAACTTCATTCCATCCAGAGTTCCAAAGATCCAGAGTTTTCCTGAGCTGTAATTTAACTCATTATCAGTCATTTTTCATGTGTTTAAATCTAGATTCCTCAAGTACTTTGTAAGCCTCTTAGAGGCAAGCATCATGATGCTTTTGCTTCTTTGCATTATTTGTAGACATGACATGAAGATGTTGAAAAGGGCTGGGGTTGTAGCTAGAGCGTTTGCCTAGCTTGTCTAGCACATGTGAGGCATTGGGTTTGATCTTCAGCACCACGTAAAAATAAATAAATAAAATAAAGGCACTGTGTCTATCTACAACGTGTGTGTATATTATATATATAAATATGTATATAAATAAATGTATACATATGTATATATATATATACACACACACACACACACATATATTAAAAAAGATAAATAAAACCCCAGCCCAGTGGCACACACCTGTAATCCCAGCAGCTTGGGAGGCTAAGGAAGGAAGATCATGAGTTCAAAGCCAGCCTCAGCAATGATGAGGCACTAAGTAACTTAGTGAGACCCTGACTCCAAATAAAATGCAAAAAAGGGCTGGGGATGTGGCTCAGTGGTTGAGTGCCCCTGAGTTTAATACCCAGTACAAAAAACAAAAAGATGCTGAACTAATATTTGTTGACTATGAGAAAGTGATTAATTTTCCTTCTGGTAACCAATCAATGACTTCTTTGAATAAGAAACTAAATGTCTTTTTTTATTGTTGTTATACTGACATTGAACCCAGGGGTACTTTACCATTGTACTACATCCCCATCCTTTTTAAATTTTTATTTTTGAGACAGGATCTCCCTAAATTGCTGAATGCTGCAATGAGCATGGCCAAACTGGTGGTACCAGCGAGGGACAATGGGAAATTAGGAAAGAAAGACTCACACACAGATATGAAGTAAATAGCTGAGATCAGGTGGAGCGCTGCTCCCTGATGGAGAAGCAGATCTAAGAGTTAAGCCAGCAATTTTTATTTATGTATGTCTCATTATCAGGTTAAAGAACATGCAAGCATTATTCTTTGTACTCAGGAAAGTTACAGAACTAGAAACATCTATGCAGCTTTTCCACCGTTACAATGTACAATGTCAGGAGCTTTGTGTAGTACTCAAGGAGGCCCACTGTTTAAAGTTACTGTTAAACAGGCAGGCTCAGGAGTAGCACAGTTCAAAACTGTAAATAATGAGGTTGTCTAGCATGAGAATTCCTCTATCCCTGGAAGCTATGTGCCTGAGATCAAGGTTAAAGCTGAAAAGGCCTTTGCATAGAGCCTCCTCAGGCAGAGCATCACCATAGCAGCTAGGCATCCTGTGTTCTTGCACAAACATTCCCAGGCTGCAGGTGTGCCACAGCCATGAAGTCATCAGAGATCGCCAATCTCAGTCACTGCTCATCCATTCTCTTTACTGCTCTCCACAGCTGAAGTCCCGTTAACTGCTGAGGTTGGCCTCAAACTTACCAAACTTCTGTGTCAGCCTCTCAAATTGCTGGTATTAGAGGCATGCACCACCATGCCTGGCTTAAATGTGTCTTATATGAGTACTAACACATTTCCATATTTCCAGGTAAAGTTCAGAACCTTAGAGTTAGGAGTTATAATCTAGATCTGACAGATGTGTCTATATGATTCTAGGCAAGGAGCCTACACTTTGGTAAATGAAGGGAATTATCTCATCTGGTGTTTATAGCTCTAAAATTTTTATGATTTTACCTAACAGAAACATATTCAGCCAAAACATAATTCAAATTATATTTAAGGTTTTTTTTAAAAATCACAATCAATGTAGTAATATTTTATTTTGTATTGCAGCACCTTATTCATTACAATCCTGTTATTCCCTTAGATCTCAAAATATTTTTAATAACATTACCATATTTACTTCAATATGTCCCTTTGACAAGAGTAAATGAATGCTAAATCTTATTTTATCATCCTCATTTTGTAAAGGTTCCGAGGCTGGTAAAGTACAAGGTCACTGAGTAATAAGAGAAGACACAGAAAAACTGTCATTCTATGTCCAGCTAAGTAAATAGCCCTCCTGGCAGACAGATCTTTTCCATGTCCAGAATGATGCTAACAGCAGTTAATCAAAACACACACACACACACACACACACACACACACCCTTCATTTCGCCTAGCCATTAATCATGCACGTTGGCTATCAGTTTTTGGAGGAACACGACGACCCCCTGTGTCTCTTACATCCACCTCTTCCCAGCTTTACCTGCTTGTACCTGGCATACAGGTATAAGAGCTGCTCTCTGCTGGCCACCTGAATCAGGCTCTGGAGGTGCGCGGCAGCCTTCTCAAACAGCTCCGCCAGGTTCCTGGACGCCTCCGTCTCGGGGTTCTGGGGGGATTCCACATCCCCGGAGTCGTCGCCTGAGCTCAGCTCTCCACCGCTGTCGCCCGTGGTGGCCCCCGCGGGCAGGAATGGTGTGGCCATGTCTCCTCGCTCTGTCCGTCCCTCTGTGGCTGGGCCGCCCGGCTCAGACCCGAGGTCAGGCCGGCTGGGGCCCGGGCCCACCGGTCTGGGAGCTCAGCCGGGGCTCGACTCCGCCCCCGGCTTGCTCACTCCGCGCTCGCTCACCCAACTCGCCGCCTGGCCACCACGACTGCCCGGGCGTGCAGGGCCAGCTCCGTTGCCCTCCGCTGCTCTCCCCAGTTACCCCGTTCTCCTCGGGCTTCACTCAAATCCAACAGGGTGCTCGGGCTCACTCGGGGTCCCTTCAACGGCGCGGGGTTCCGGGGTCGCCTCCACGGGCGGGCGGGGGAGGGCGGAGCGCCGGGCGGCGTGAGCGCGCTTGGGCTCGCGCTCGCGGTACGCGCCACAGCCTGCGCCGCAGCCGCCGTGCGCCTGCTCCGCACTGGTAGGGGCGGCATGGGCGGTCCCGCGGCGGGCGCCTCCGGCAGAGGTTCTCGTGGGGCCGCCGGCAGGACGTGGCTTGGAGAAGCCGTCCTGGGTCGTCAGGGTGTCCGTTTATCATTTCGTTGAAATCAGCGGTCACCAGCGCGGGAACCTGCAGTCGGGAGAGGCCACTGGGGGTAGGGGACGGAGGCCGTCCATTTAGTAGTGCAACGATTTGAGCGGAGTCGCGGGAAACACGTAGACGAGGATAAAGGTTCCGCGTGCTTTCGCCTACCGGGGATGGTGTGCCCCAGGCGCCCCCAGACAGGCGTGCGTGCGCGCGTGCGCAGCCAGGCCCTGAAAGTTTGGCTCTTGTGCATTGCTAGGTGATGGGACCTTCGCTGGCCTACGATATGACAGATGGGTCGAATGACTCCCCTCTACGGCTTCTTTTACACACTTGTGGACCCCGCATCTCCAGGGGCTCTGAGAAGAGGATTCTGGACCTTCATTAGCAGGGTCTACGGAGCTAGGCCTCCCCTCTGTGCTTTGCGGGCACTTTGGAGTGAAACCGAAAAGCACGTTGTCATTCCCCCAAAGGAACTTGGAAAACTATGTGTATTTTTTAAAGTAACATTTTTCAAGAGGTAACATGAGGCATTATTATGTCCTACATGTTGTAAATACACATATTTAGCCTTCAAAACATTAGAATGAGAACCATAAGAATAGTATGAAGAAAGAGACAGAAGAGTGAACAGGATAAGGAATAATAAGAAAAAACCAGAAGGTGATTCAGCTTGGATCAGAATTCAAACCTTGAGTGTGGAGAATGATTCCACTATCAGTTGCCACTCTGAAGGGATGACTAATGACCAAATTCTTTAATTAAAATGTGGTAACAAAACTGGGAGAGATGGCATATGCCTGTAATCCCAGCTGCTAGGGAAGTTGAGGCAGGAGGATCCCAAGTTCAAGCAAGATCCTGACTCAAACAGGACTGGGGCTGTAGCTTAGTGGTAGAGCATCCCCGGATTCAAGCCCCAGTACTGGGAGAAAATGATAATAATAACAGCTTGAGTCTCTTACTGTTTAAGGGACTTAGCCCTTACTACATAAAGTAGCTACTGTTATTTCCATTTTACACATAGGAAATCAACACACAAGGTTAAGCAACTTGCCCAAGGGTGCACAGACAATAAAAGCACAAACAAGGAAAAAGTTAAAGCTGTAAACCAGAGGTTAGCCTGCATGTGTTGTAATAATAGACAATGAACCAGAAAAGGAGGTATTGAAAGGGAGAGGTAGGGGCTTTTATATCTCTCATTCAGAAGCTGGCCTGACACTTATAGCAAGGCTATATTATTCTCCTACAAGATAGAAATAAACTCACAAAATACTGACCTCAGACTGGGTCCTTCTGATAAATTGAGACAAAGCAAAGCACTCCATTAAGTTTGTCTAAGCACAAAGAAAAACAGGGTCAGTCTGCCAATTACAAATACCAACATGGCCAATATGAGTAACTACTACTTTTTTATAAATTACAGCTTTATTTTCATGCAAGTCTTTTCTTCCTACAGACAAGCTTGAACTTCCCAGGCATAGAAATGCTTTATAATAAGATCAGATGTAGAACAAATCTCTCCTTCTTTAGACCCTCCTTCAAATTGCCAACCAAAGCCCAAATCCCATAAAGTTTTTTCTTTACGCATTCTTATCAAGACAAGCTCATGGCTCCCGAGCTCCCACGTTCCTACTTGTGGCAACAGGTAATGAAGGCAGATTTACAGATAGGTATTTAGTGTAGTTAGGTAAATCGGGTCTAATATGGAGTAAAATCAAGAACCATATCAAGGCCATAGTGAGAATGGAGTACAGGAAAAGGGGAATTGAAAATGTCCCCAAGGCCCAGAGCCCATCCCAACTAAATGTTAATGAAGCAGCTCCCAGCAAACAAGCAGATGCTAATCCAAACGTCCTTCCTGCCTAGATTACTTCTTCAGCCCACCTGTCTCCAACCCTTTGGGCCTTCCCCACCTACATTCCATCACTGCAAGAACTAAGGACAGAAATGCGACAGGAATGTGGGAAAGCTGAGAGAAGACCTTAGTTATAAAAGAGGGAAGACCTCCCCCTTCCACGGATTCCACCTCTTGGGTCCCCTTCTTCTTTTCTGCTGGCCTTAATAAAGCTTCTACTTTCTACTCTAAACTTGTCTTGGAGTGCTTCTCTGGTGTTATATTTTAGCATTCAGAGAAGCAAGGACTCGTCACTGGTAAACAGCGGTTACAGTAATAATTCCAACTCGGTAAACTTTAGATGGGTACCTGGAGGTCTCTGGCTAAAAGGCCCTGACGCATGAGAATGTTTTATTTCTTGAAGATTCGGTTAAAGCCCCCAAATTATCAGGATGTGGTGACTTTGAGAAGATAGATCTTGTGTTTCAAATCAGTCATTTCATGGGAGAGGCAAATGTTTTTATAAATCCCAAGAAATATTATCCGGGCTGGGGTTGTGGCTCAGCGGTGGAGAGCTTGCCTAGCATGTGTGAGGCCCTGGGTTCGATCCTTAGCACCACATAAAAATAAATAAATAAAGTAAAGATATTGTGTCCAACTACAACTAAAAAATAATTTTTTAAAAAAAGAAATATTAGCCAAGATAAGGAAGCCATGAAAACCAGCCTCTACCTCAGAGCAAAGCCTGTCCAAGGAAGGGACATCACCTTTGTCCTTGGAAAAACCCACAGAGCACTCCTAGGCACATTCCCACCCTGCTAAGTGGTTTATCTACAAATAACAGGAGAGATCTGCTGCTCCAGGTGTCCCTGACTCAGTCAGGCTAGGTGGGGATCCAATAGCAACCCCCTAGCAGCCACCAATCAGCATGAGACAGGGAAATACCTGGGATGCCAGATGACCCTCCCAGTAGTTTATGGTGGTTGATAACATGTTGGGAAACCATGTAGTTCAGCACATATACCCCTCTTGGCTTAAACCAATCAGTTCAAATGAATCCCCCTTTTGTACTGACCGATCACCCCTACCCAACTTGTTCCCACCAGTGAATGTGCTAGTCATATTTTAGAGTTGTTATTTGATTTTCCCGCGGTGTGTGATGATTTGCTAAGAGATGCTATGACGTATGTGAAGTCCCTGCCTTCTCCAAAGAATGTATAAAACTGCTGCAAACCCTGGGCTCGGGGCCTCTCAGCATCACCAGTTGCTGTGTGTGTGCGCGGAGGACCCAGCTAGCTCGCAATAAACACCTCTTTGCTGCTTACATCGATCTTGGGTCTCTGGTGGTCTTTTGGGTGTCCCGAATTCGAGCATAACAGCCAGAAAAAAATATAATTCTCCTGCTAGAATGAAAGCTTAACAGTCAACAGAGAAGTTACTGATTCAAACCACAAGTAGAAAGCAGTAGCAGGAAATGTTGACTCATGGAGTCTAAAGTGGACCAAAGAAAAGAGCAGGCAGCAGAGAAGTGGTCCAGATGGAACAGGTCCAATTTGTGATGGCTACCATATTGGACCCATGTTCATGGCCCATCTACTGGTCAGTCATTCCTACAGATAAAATAAGTATTGATAAGAGGATATACACAGTGTCAGGTCTGTGTGCATATCCTTGGTGCTTTGTTCCTAAGTGCTTTGCTCCTAAGCCCTTGGGCAAAAGGAACAAATCAGGCACCTACGGAATCCCCTGTCAATCAGCAGGGTCTCCTGGCCAATTCTGGATCTCAGCCAGTTCCCCCCGACCAACTCCATTGGGACAAGGGACTCTAAAAACACCTTTTCCTGTCCCAAGCCCTTCCCTTCCTGCCGTAAGCCCCATAAAATTCCAGTCTGGTAGAGTCCCCACAGGGTTTCTCCTCAGACCCTCTTCCTATCCACTCTGTCAGGCTGATAGGGAGTGGGATCTCAATAAAGGCTTGTTCATCAGCTTTTTTAAATCTGCCTCCTTTTGGTCACTGCCACTGCCTGACCTTACACACAGTACATTTAAAACAAAATTCTAAGAAATAACAAGCTTGGGAAACAAAATGAGTCTTAAACTGGCCATTTCTTCAGGTGATTCTGAGCAGTGCTCTGAACCTTTCCAAGACATCTGAATGTAGTTATTAGACACTATCCCACAGTGTCACAAGCCATCTGTGGGCTGTGTGTGGATTATGTTGCACATAGTAGCCTCTTGAGGGGATAGGCCTGTTATGGGGAGCTGCTTCAGAAAACACTCTAAGTCCAAATTCAAATAAAAAAGAGCTTTATTTACCTGGCCCAGGACTGTCACCCACCCCCAGAGACTGAAGCTCTGTGGGAGAATAGCAACTTCCTAACCTATATCCTGGGAACTTAAAGATGAAAACCACAACTCAAGGGCTTTCCTTAGCTTCATGCAAGTAAGCCAGTCACAGAAATTAAAACAGTAATAAGCAGGACCTGGGAGCCCTAAGCAGGACTGGAATTTTCCAGTTAGCAAGCAAGCTAGTACAGAAGCTAGAAAAAAGGCAATCCGCTTTGCAATTCAGTTAACCACATTTCCAGATTCAAGCAGGTGCTAGACATCAGTATCCTAAGTTTGAGCTGGGGTTGGTGGGGTGAGAATCTATTTCAAAGTCATGTAGACCCACAAGAGCACTCAAACCCAGGATATAGCTCACCATGACCACAAATGCATCCTGAGTAGGGTACAATTTACAGGTTACAAAATACAGAAGAACAATTTTTATAAGAAAACAGCTTTCATTTCAGTTTCTCAGAAACAGCTCTTGTAACAGTTTTCCTATAGAAGGAATCTAAGGCCTGTCTAGAACAGTTCTTGCTTTATAATTGTCTTATCTCACTTATCTATAATCTATATATATTTTTTTTACTAATTTATAACCTGTAACTCACAGTCTCACTGATTTTATTGAT